AGATGGGGTGCCAGCTGCTGAGGGTGAAGCTGAGAGTGTCCAGGCACTACCCTCTGACCTCTGTCCTCGTCCCCTAAGCTGGCCTTGCTCTAATCCCCAGAGCCTACAATGTTATGTTACGGGACGGGGGAACCTAAGGCCGAGAAGATGCGTGCTGGCATCTGACCTGAAGTTGAAGATGGCTTGTGGTTTCTGGACCCTTAACCTGGGAAAGAATAAATGCACACTGCTCTAAGCCAGCAAGTTTATGGCAACCTGTTTAGGAGTCTCAGAAAACCCTTGCACTCTTTCTTGCAGGGTTCTGGGGGTCAAACCCTGGGCATTATGCATTCAGGGCAAGTGCTCTACACGGAGCTATACCTGCTTCCCCGTCCCCAGGAAAGCCCTGGAGGCAAGTGCGCCAGAATGAGTGGATCCCCGGGAATGGGGAGTGGAGGGGAAGACAGACTGGTGGCACGGCCTCAGAGGCCAGAGCCCTACACCACGTGATCCGCAGGCTATGCTTGGGGGCAGCTCTCTTCCCTCACCAGCCTCAGCCCTTGCCAGGGCCGGGTCTCTGAGGGGTCAGTTAGTGATCACAGCCAAATCTCAGTGCATTTGCTTAAATGAGCCACATCCCAGGACCAGGCCACATCCCAGGACCGGGCCACGTCCCAGGACCGGGCGACTATGGCAGGACCATCAAGTGGTGGCTATATCCGCCACACCAAGGGCCCTGTGCTGAGTTGGAAAGGCAGTCACTTCTGTCCAAGGGGGCAAAGGAGCCATTCCTTATGGCCTGAGGACAGTGGCAAGGAAGGACCAGGACTGAGAGGTAGCACAGGCACCTCTCAGGCACAGGGACCCCAACCCCACCCCCATCCCTTCAAGTGAAAGCCTTCTTCCACGCACAGGGTTGGGCAGGCCGGGCAGGTTCCTTGGCCACACACATCCTGAGTGTCCAAGGACGCCGACCTGGACACAGTGTCCTAGAAGTGCAGGAAGGACTGTTCTCCTTGGTGAGCCTTGATCTGGGAGCCGAAATCAGGAGAGCGATCTAAGAACCACTGAGCTCACACCCATCCACACAGCAGCACCTGCAGCACCCCCAGAGGCCTCACCCTGACATTTGGCTCCCCTTTTCCCAGCACAGAATGCTTGGGACAGGATCTAGAAACCATCAAGAAATGGGAGAAGAAATCAGGCATAGAGGCATCTGTCTGTAACTCCAGCACTCAGGAGGCTGAGGCAGAAGGATCGCAAGCTCCAGCCTACCATGGGCTTCCTAGAGAGGCGCCATCTTTTTTTTTTTTTTTTTTTTTTTTTTTTTTTTTTTTTGGTGGAACCAGGGATTGAACGCAGGTCCTTGTGCTTGCCAGGCACATGCTTATTCTACTGAGCTATCTCCCCAGTCCCTAGGCCCCATCTTAAAAACCAAAAGAAATACAAAAAAGGTTGGAGATGTAGCTTAGTGCTAAGTCATTTTCCAACTCCAATACTGCAAGACAAAAATAACAGTAGTTGAAACAGACAAGCCGGCCATTGGTGGACTTGGCGTCAGCAACACAGGGAGCCAGCAGTGGGGACAGCGCAATCCTCAGAAGCCAGGTTCCACTCCTTCTTCCAGCTGGGCACTAGGCCTGGGGACAAGGAGGAGGTATCCTAGTCTGGGACAGATGTCACAGTAAGGACAGCACAGAAATAGCAGTGGACCACAGCTGTGCTGTCTATCCAGGTGTGGTGGGCCCTTCGCCAGTGTCCCCTGGCTCCTGGGTTTGGGCCACCATCACTCTGAGATGTCAGAGCCACTCTTCAACATGGCTGGAGCCAGAGGAAAGACAACTGCAGCGTCCACGGGGGCTCACTCAGGCTCAGGCAGGCTTCCTTGGAAGTGTCTCTCTGTTGGGAACTCAGGGGTAACAGGAGCAGTGTTGGGAAGGCCCATATCCATGTAGTACAAGGTCGAATGGGGTAGGGGCACCCATGGAGCCAGACACCAGCTGCTAGGGTCTCACGGCCAGGTGGGGGCAGAGCTCAGTGGCAGAGCCCATGTTTGGCATGCATGAGGCCCTGGTCCATCCCCAGAGGCAAAAGAAAAAGTTTTCCAGGGAAAAGAATTAAAATATGTTTGGGTGTGAGCAAGTGTGGTCAGAGTTAAAGGGGCAAAAGGAGAGGAGTTGACAAGACCCTACCGCCCCTGACAAGGACAGCAGACCCCTACACCGCAGAGGGAAGCCGGCACCACCACACACCGACCCAGGAGGGGAGTGGCGGGGGTCCCAGCATCCCAAGAGCTCCACAGGGCCAGACACCTGAGCTGGCTGGGTCTGAGGATGTAGCCTTGGGTAGGACCGCAGTCTGATGGATGGAGCTTTGAAAAGGCATCCCATTATGAAGTTTTAGTATGGCCTCTTAGAGATAATTCCACATTAGGGGTCGGGGAGATAGCTCAGTGGAATAAGTGCTTCTCTGGCAAGTGCAAGGACCTGAGTTCAATTCCTGGTTCCGCCAAAAAAAAAAAAAAGATAATTCCACATTAACATGCTTTCCACTTTCCCACTTACACAAAACTAAAATACAAACAAACAAAAGCTGTTGGTGCACAGCTATAATTCCAGCACTCAGGAGGCTGAGGCAAGAGGATTGTGGTGAGTTTGAGGTCAGTGTAGCTTACATAGTGACTTCAAGGGGGGCCTGGCCTTAGCTCAGTCCTTTAAGTGGCTGCTTCCACAAAGCTGTCAGCCTCAGGTTGCTGGAGTTCGATCCCCACAACACTAGAGCCAGCCAAACCACCCCTGAGGGCATGCGGAGAAAAACAAAACAAAACAAAACAAAAAAAACCCCTTATTCCAAAGGCCAGGGAGATGGCTCAGTGGAATAAGCACTTCCCTGGCAAGCGCAAGGGCCTGAGTTCAATCCCCGGTTCCGCCAAAAAAAAAAAAAAAAGATTATAAATATAGTGACTTCAAGGCCAGCCTGACCACATGGTGAAACCCTGTCTCAAAAAGACAATCAATCAACAAAAGCTCACCAGCAGGCTATGAAGCCAGAAAGCTTCTTCTCTGCAGAACTGGGCATTAAATCCACAGCCTTCACAGTGAGCTACATCCCCAGCTCACTAAATGCCCAGGCTGGGCTAGAACTTGTGATCGTCCTGCCTCAGCCTCCCAGAGCACTGGGATAACAGGCTGCACCACTGTGCCCAGCTGGCTGTTGTTTTTCAGTTGCTTTAAACACTTATGGCTGCTTAGGCCAACCAGGCCTTGTGGGAGGAGACAGGACAGAGAGCCCAAGGCCTAGCGAAGCATATTCAGAAATTCATTTGGCATCAGTGACAGACCAAAGTGCTGACAAGGGTGTTGTGTGCCTTTTCCTGACTGCTACTTACAGGAAGTAACAACATGTACTTCTTCTCACCCCATCACTCAAGCCCCAGAGAATGCCAGGCCACCTTCCGGAAGCGGCTGGGCTACAGTTTTAGCTGATTCGCAAGTTCGGGGACAGAAGAGCAAACTCAGCTCCGCATACTTTTCTTAGTTCTCAGAGAGGCAGTAAGTCCTACCACCCAGCACTCGGGAGGCTGAGGCGGGACTTGAGCCCCGCCGGTCAAGATCAACACAGAAACAGAACTCATCTAAAAAAAAAAAAAAAAGGCTGAAGGTCATAAACCTTGTTTACCCGAGATATGTGCACGAACCAAACCTATGAACATGCTGAACAGAAAATGAAATTTGGCTCCTTGGTGCCACAGGCTGGGTACCACTCCCTAAAGGTCAACAAAGTACCCGCCTCGGCCCTGACAGCCAGGAAATGCTGCTGGGCTGCATGCACCAGGAAGAAGACACAGAAACTGTCCTGGGGGCTGGAGAGACGGCTGACACCCCCAAGGGTGGCCACCCAAGACACCCTCATGGGTTCCTCATCTCCAGGGTTGATGTGGTCCAGGGAAGACCTGGCCTCAAGTGGAAAGCATGTATGTGCTGACTCCTGGCCCCAGCCCACAGCTGCCCCTGGGACCTGCCCACTCCCCTTGCTGGCCTTGGAAAGACAGAATCCTGGTGTGGATCAGACAAATCTAAACTCTGCTGCTTTCTGAATCATTTTGGTGGAGGTTGAGCCTCGGCTTATCCAAGTATAAAATAGGAATATACCATGAGACCTTACACTTGGCATTGTCCTCACTGGCATATCAGTCTTTTCTGTGCAAGCCATAGCAACTTGCAAGGGTCCCAGCAGGTTGTGGGGGGGAGGCACCGCTGTGCGTGGAGAAGAGAGGGGAGGAGGAGCTCAAATTGAGTGCCCAGCCGTTTGTCCAGGAGCCGCTCTAGACGCTTTCTAAACCCACGACCCTCGGGGCTGGAGAGAGGCCAGCTTCGCGCAGCACACACACAGCTGCCTTTGTACTCCCAGACGGGTATCAACTTCTGGGTAAGAGCGCTGAGCGCCACACTGTAGCGCTCTGGTTCCCTGGGGAAGAACTGAAAACAGTAAACTGTGAAACTCAGTACTCTGAATAGACTTCGAAACCTTCCAAGAGCTTTGTCTCCGGTTTTTACTGATGGTTTACATCAGAGAAAGCAGGCGGTCCTCTCGACGTTACACACGCTCCTCTCGTCTCTCTCCACTATGCCCAAGAATCCAAGTGGTCCAGCTCAGCCCGGATTCCAGCCGGGCACACCCCGCCCCCAACAGCCCGAGGCATTTCTGCGCCCTTCCCTGCTTCAGATCCCGCGGTGTCTCCGGCGGCGGGGCGGACTCTGCCCCGGGGCCCGGCGTGAGCTGCACTCTGAGGACCACAGACCCCAAACCCCAACCTCGCGCCAGAGCCCAGAACTGGGGGGAGAGGCAGAAATGCGGGGTGCTCGTGCTCCGGCCCAGTCGCCGCGCAGGGCCTGCGGGAGGTCCGGAGATGCGCGAGGGGCGAGCACGGGAGCAGGAGACCCCGCTGAGGGAAGTTCGGGTCCCCCGAAGGGCCGAAGTCGCACCCCGCCCGCCGCCGCTCCCGGCCGCGCCCCGCTCACCTGGCTCCCGCCGCGCGCCCACCGAGCCGTCCCTGCGCAGCAGGATGTCCGCCGTGTCGCGGATGCGCCGCCCGCCCGGCGCACCCCGGAGCCCGCGGCAGCCCTGGAAGCACACGGCCCAGGCCTGCTCTTCGTTGATGGGCTGCTCGTACACCTTCAGCACCTCCTCCAGGGACAGCTCCCACGGCTCGGCCCGCGCCGCGCCCCCCGCGCGCTCCGGGGCCGCCGCGCCGCC